CTGAAACCCTCAAACTCTTGATGGGTTTTACTCTGGTTTACCACTGTCTCAATTTTTTTTTCCTGCGCCTCCAGGATGGTTTTTGACAGTTTCAGCCCCCAGTGCAGCACTGCTCTGAAATGTGGGACAGTTTTTTGTGTGAAGCAATCTATCACTTCTCGTAATGACAGCTTTTCTTTTCTTTTTTGTGAGCTGTTCAGTACATTTGGTCTGACAACTTCAAAGAAGTTTCTTTAAAAAGAGAAAGACATTTTCTTCAAGAAATTACATCATTTTTAAAAAAAATCTAGAGGACATTTTGAGAGCATTCAGTGAACACAACTGCTTCTAACTAGCTGAGCCAGTAGCCCAGGACACACGTAAAGAAAACGAGGTCATCAGGGAAGTAATTAGTGAAATATTTGTCTTTTTCCTGCAACTATAATTTGCGTCTGGAGTGGAGAAGGTCTTTTTGAAGAGCCTTAGTGACGACACTCTGAGAACATAATAATAATCACTCTGATTAGCTTCATTAACACGAGTGCATTAGCAAGGTCAGCCAAGTCAGTTGAATGATAGAACAAGCAAACAGCGCTCCTCAAAGCAAATATACACAGTGCTGTTGGTGTGTGTGTGTGTTTGTCGTGTGTGAGATGTTCAAAATAACAAAAACAATGTTTTATGTTAAACAGGATTCTGTGCAGAGGCTGTTTACATGCACATATACTGCTGTTGACGTAGCTGATAGTTAGCAAGTTGGTCTGGGGTATAAGTCACTCCAGTGCCCTCTAGTGGCTTTCAGTGTGAAATTGTCAAAACTTGTGAAATTGTAAAACATGTAAAATTATTTATTTTAATATATAAGTCGCACCTGAGTATCAGACCCAAACCCAGTCAAAGGATGAAAAAAAAAAAGAGTGGGGTTTATAGTCCTGGAAAATACAGCACTTACAATCGTCTGTGATCTTGATCTGAAGTCAGTTTAGGACACTGATGGATATTCCTACAACATGAGCATATGTTGGCTCACAGCCAACCTCGTGACTTTGTTTACTACTACTACCTTTAGGTTTATATGTTTTTATATGTATTAGAAAAGCCCTGTTTCATTTCGACTAACACAATAAGCCCGTCTCCTCTAATCTTGTGCGTACGCAGGGTCTCACGCAGATCCTTCTGTGGTCAAACACCTCTCCAGTCCAGGCCAGAACAGTCTGTAATGATTAACCCTCTCAGGAGTGGTGTTCTTCTCTTACATTCAACAATGACGGCAATAAAGTCAACTTCCAAGGCATCTTGGGATGCTTGCAGTGACGCACGGCATACAGAACATGGGCTTGTTAAGCTGATAAGACCAGCACAGAGGCTGAGCAACATTTAAGAGACCTAATACAAAACACATGATTCATACCACGCCTATTCCACACTCACACACACTCACACACACTCACTCACACACACACAGGGGCACACACTTGCCTCTGTGTGCTGAGTAGACAGACTTTCCTATTCTTTCACTAATCACAAAAATCACATGCATTTCCAATCAGATGCATTTGGACTTAAAAACTCAGCTCCGGGAAACTACATAATAGAAAAATACTGAATAATGATGATGGTGAGAAAGTGCTCATTAGTTCTAACCTCATAAAATTAAAAACTGACCTTTCACTGAGGTCAACTGCAGTTCAAACTACTAATACTCATCACTGTTTGAGAGAATACATTCAGTGGTTAAATGTTGTGATGTAAAATCATATTGTAAATTTTGGGTAAACAGTGAAGAAAAATCGTTATTTTCCAGATTTGTGCCAGTAATGTTGAACATGAAACAATGAAAAGTACATTTTATTTTCTCCATACAGTTTACACTGGAATAATTTTGTTTTCTCTCAGAAGCTAAATCAGCCTAAATCTAACATCTCTGGTTCTTGACTTCAGTCACCACAGCTAATCATAATAATAATAATAATAATGATAATAATGGTACAGATTTTAACCGTACTGCTTAACTGGAGAATAAAGAAGCAACACGTGGTCAGTTTCTGACATCCAGAGACACATTAGTAAAAGCTGTGTTCAAAGTTGAAGTAATACTGCGATCAATTTGTCTTGGAAGTCAACAGCTGGCTGCAGTACAAGAAAAACAAACAAAAAAACGCCTGGTATGATGTGATGTGTTCCAGACTCTAAGGTAATAAAACCAACAAAACACACACACACACACACACGTTGATCCTGCTTAAAATGGGGCAGAATTCATGTCAGAAATGTTTCCCATTTCAGGGCAAAATGAAAAAAAAAAAACAGTTTGTTTTTACACTGTCAAACGTTACAAAATGATAATTGAATCCTGATTGGCTGACAACTATTATTGATTTAATGAACCTGTTCTAAAGAAAATCCGTTGCAACACGGGGACTTTCTGTAACTGTGTTTGTGCGTATATATTAATTTTATTTAGCTGTAAACAAACAGGAGAACGCGACCACTCTGCTCTGATAAAAGATGTCACGCAGCAGAGAAAATCTAATTCAACTTTCAAAGGACGCGGAGAGAAGTTTTATTGCATCTGGCAAGCCTTTGAAGAACAAGGTAACAACAATCTACTTCCCTGCATCACAGCTTTACTAGGCCACAGCTACATTTCCTGTAGTCTTTAAAATCAAACAACAATATTTTTATTAACTTCTGCTGCTTTTTCCAGTTTCCTTAGTTATGGTTTTCTCTAGGCTACATTTGGGTTCGGTTAATGATGAGAATAGAAAAATGTCTTTGCAGAGAGTCAAGGAGTCAGCAAGGAGACAATTTATCAGAGGTGCATTAAATATTCTGGACATCGGCACCACATCAGGAATGTAGGAGCAGAAATTCTCTTTGAGTAATTTGTCAATGTCAGACATTCAACACGATTTGCACATTGTTTTGGTCGTTTTGGTCCATGCTTTTAACAGCAAGAAGTAAAACATTCACCAGTTCAGTTTCACATTCAGTCTATGTTTAGTCTTCGAAAAGTCTTCAAAATATCATTCAAACCGACACATCACAGTCACGTCCTCCCACTGAAGGTCTTCTACTTTATATACAAGTGCTATGAACCAACATGCTCTACGCAGAACGATAAAGTAAGAAACTATACGTGTCTTACTTTATGTCGATTCCTCTTTCACAACAGCAGTGTCTTCAACACCAACATCAAAGTTGTGGAACGACAATAGTAGTTTCCTCAAGGCAAAGTGAAAACAGGAAAAGATCAACAGCCAAAATTAGCAGCAAAGGAAATGGGCCAAATACTGTAAAGTCACTGAGCTGAAGACAAGACCTGTGCCATAACTAAGGTGTGTCAAACCCCTGGTCGGCAGGCCCGTAATGGGCCGCTGTGAAAGAATTAATAATCAACTAAATTTAAAGACTAACCCTAACCTGGAAACGTCTTCTTTGAGAAAATTTCGCATCCAGTTGCCTAATGGAACTCTTCACCCTAGATCATCTGGACCTTTTTCTAAGTAATGCATCTTTCAGACTCAGATACTAACTACAAGATATTTTATTCTGAAATTTGACTGATCTATTATGATCCTATAATAAACCGGTTGACTAGGATTTAAACTCCACACTGGGTCAACATAGAGTTTCAATTCATTCCAAGTCTTTAGGCTGTGAGGAAAACCCAGACTGGGTGTCAGGGACCTGAGACGCAAAACGTAAAGTTCACACAGAGAGGATGTCAGTCAAACCAGGATTAGAGCTGCTGTGACGCCACAACGTACGACCATGCACCCGAGTTAGTTGACAAGATCAGTAAATGTTAGCAATTCCAACAGCCTCAGATGGTGCTGGGCGATAAGGGGAGCGTTTTCGCTGAGCTGCGGCAGAACGCTGCCATGAGCGGGGGGGGGGGGGGGGGAGGGGAGAGAGAGAGACAGTCTTTCACTGTGACATGACAACAATGAGAGACGACAACCAGCACTTTCTGTGACCTCGTCAATTTGAGGGGAAAACTTTATACTTCTCAGTAGATCAACGGAAGAAACTCCATCTGACAAAAAAAAAAACACCAAATACGGCAAACAAGAGAAATGATGCTGGATTAGGTGAGATCATATCTGAGCAAACTTTTATACTCAGAGGAAATGAAAGGGATTATCCAAGAGAGTGTGTGTGTCTGTGTGTGTGTGACTGTGTGTGAGCTAACAGTGAGAGAACAAAGGAAGCAGATAAGGAGGAAGAACGAAGATAGAGGCGTGAGGAGGGAACACTTTAATGTTCCGACGTTGCTCTCTTCACGGTGCTACTGGATTATTCTAACAGAAACAACACCACTGTCTACTTTACATGCATTTTAATTTCCCTCTAGGGGAAAACTAGAGACAGTTTGTCCACAGCTCAGTCATCTTAGGACAAATGCTATCAAGGATAATAAATAAATATTACCATAAGGCAGGTCTGTGTGGGAGTGTCTCCGTGCTCCTCTGACTATCATTTATTCAGATCCTCAGTGATGTTGCTGGGAATTCTTTTTTTTTTTTGTCTTAAATTAAAAAAATATATAAATATTTTTGAAAACCCTTGCCTTTAACATTATAACATTATTTCTTTTCACATATTTAACACATACCGTCACTGAAAATACTTTCTTCCATGCATCATCAGTATTACCAACATGAAGTACAGCACCACAGACCACAGCTTTGTTCAGTTAAGACAAAAGGGGGTTTCCTCATTTTTTTAAACTACATTTTTTTTAAAAAACACCAGAGGAAACCCATGATACGCATGCCATCGTTTGAGAACCCCCAGCCTAAGGCATTACCACCCGGACGTTTCTCGTGAAACCACTCGTTTGACATGTGTCAGCTTTTCTGGCAACAAAATGTTTGGTAAATAAAACGAATTTCTGTTTGTACAATAGATTTGAGGTGTGGACGTGTTTAAAAAAAAAAAAACAATTCTAGAAACTTCGTCATTAAGTTTCGCCTGTCCAAATAAACATGATTTTTTTTTTATCCTCTTTCACTCACCTCAGCTGCCGCCGTTTTCTCCCGCTGTTTGGGTTTTTACCGCAGACTCCCGCTCGTCTGTCGGACCGTTCTGTCGCTGTGTTTATAAACGTCAGGTGTTGCTCTTATCAATTCCATTTTATTGCCGCAACTTGTTCGAGTCATTAGACAGACTTCAAACTCTGCAACATGCATGGCGGCGTGACCTGCCGTCAGCGTGACGTCAGCAGTCGTCTCACGTGACGGGAAATGTGGCGGTGGAGTGTAAACAAGTTTACTACAGCGGCCACGAGGTCTGCTGAGGCAGCGTTTATTTAGTCAATACACACACGCACACACACGCGGTGATTTCGATCTATTTCTTTTCTTGAAAAGCAGATTTAAAAAAAAATCCTAAGTATAAAGACAACAGTGTTTTCATCCATTCTCCTCAATAACAACAATTGGAACGAATAAAAGTTTTATTGAACTTCCACAAACAGACGACCAGGCATCTGCAAACGATCTAAATTCCAACAAAGCTGCTCACAAAATCACCATGGAATGCTGGGTTATTTTCACTTTAATCAAAAATCCATGAAGTAGCAAACAGCCATTGATCTGACTTATTTCTTTCTTGTTATTATGAAACTAATCATCTTTTTTTTTCTCAGTAAATTGGGTAAATGATTATCTATTAAAAAATGTTTGATACATTTCTGGGGTTTTTTTTTCTGGTCCAACATTTAGCTATTTTTGCCCAATTTTTAGGTAATATGTAGCTAAATAGTTAGTCTTTGCATCTATAACTGTCACAAGTACTTCAGTGTTTACTACTGTAGGACTGATCGATATCATTTGGGTTACATTTGACCTCAAACAACAAAAGGTTAAGTATACACATCTCACTGAAAAAAAAAGTGAAAAAGTGTTTTGTCTAAATAGTCTATCTAAATTAAAATCATTTAGATGAAAATGATACGTAACATTTCCACCAGTTTTGTTCAATCTGTCACCAAATGATTGCATCTAAAATGGTCTAAAAACCAACAATGCTCCAAAAAAAAAAAAA